CACTGATGCTCCAGAGCCAATGACAAGTAAGACACACTGCTGTTTGGGGAGCCCACAGCCACAGTTATATGCTGGTACACAGGGTGTCTGTTTTCATTCATATCTGGCATCTCCAGACACCCGTAATCATTTGGGAGGCTGGCCTCAGTCAAAATGAGAAACAGGCAGCCAATGGGATCAGGGGGTGGCCCACTCAGCCCTCCAGGTCTGTGATGGTGTGGTTCCTCTCTGCAACACTTCTTTCTTCTGATTGGTGTGGTTGGTGTGTGATTTTTTTTTTTAACTTCTGCACTGATCACGGAGGCTTGCTCGTTCCAAAACCTGTACTTGGTATCTGGAGGAAATGAGCCTTGGACTTTTGCCCCATAACTGCCACAACATCCTGCAGACAGATGACAGACACCACTAATGAACCCCAGCACCACCAATTCTCAGCTGGGGCCTGGGAATCACAAAGCACTCCCAGCCACCAGGTGCAACCCTGCTGGGCTCAGAGGAAGACAATGACTCACTGCTTACTAGACTTTGAGGAGAAGCCCGTCTACCACCATTCCATCAAGGCAGAGGAACACACAGAAGCCCAAAAGCAAGCATTAGCTACCTAAGGAAGGACTGAGAGTCAGGAACGGGTCGTGGCTGTAAGACCCTTCTGGCCCTAAGGGACAAGTCTGCCTCATTGTGGCTGGTTGGAGATGGGTCACAGCTGGGACAGCACAGTCCTTCAGGGCCTTGTGACTCCATGGAATCTCTCTCCTCCCCCAGCTGCTTGTCCTTGTCCCTTTACCTTTGTGTCCCACGTCTTGGTGGGCAACACCATGCCTGTCTGCATCTCACAAGTGAGAAATAGAAACACAAACCAGTCTCAGCAACAAGAGGACACTGCTCAAGGACAAGGAGTCTTTTCTGTCTCCCACCTCCCCCTGGGGCTGAGTCAGTGAACAGGAGGTCGGGCGTCGTATCTGCTGCACCCCACACATTGAGGAGCTCAGCTTCTGCACTGACTTTGAGTCAGGGCAACTTTCAAAGCTCCACAGTGCCAGACTCCACACTGCCCCAACCGGGGCAAAAGCCACTTCTCCATCACCCCCACCTGTGGACGGGGCTGGCTCTTCTAGGTCCTTTCCTACAGTGACATTCCCTGATCCTGCTTCACACTGAAAACATAAATGCTCTGGAAGGCGGTGACGCTGACACCCAGGTGGGGACTGTGCCATCCATCAGGGAAGTCTCTGGTGGCTGATGGACCAGTTTCTTGAGCCTACACCTCATAGCTGGCAGCAGCTCCCACAAATCCTACTTAGCCCTGCTGAACTCTCCCCCAAGCTCACAATGGAGCCTGGTGGCTTCCACCTGTAATCCCACAGTTACTCGAAAGCTCAGGTAGGAAGATCCCTTGGGCCCAGGAGTTCAAGACTGCAGTGAGCTATGACTATGCCACTGCACTCCAGCATGGGTGACAGAGGAAACCTATCTCTAAAAAACAAAAAAATGAAAGAAAAAGGCATCCAGATTCTCATCTAAGAGGGAGACAGAAGAAAATGTGACAAAGAGGAGAAGGAAATGTGACTACAGAAGCAAGAGACTGCAGTGGTGACAGGAAGGGGCCTGAGCCGAGGAAGGCAGGTGGCCACTGGAGTCTGCAAGCAGTGGAGAGGGGATTCTCCCCCAGGACCTCAGGAGGAAGCTGCCCCACCCAAAGTGGTACACATTTTAGACTTTTCAACCTCCAGACCCATCACAGAACAAAGATGTCTTGTGTTGACCGACTAAGTTTGAGGCAACTTGTTAGAGTGGCCATAGGAAATAAACACACCTGCCATGTTGTGTGTTGTGACCGGCTCCTCCCATGAAGGACGCCACCCTGGAGTTCGAGTCTGACACACTGTGGGCAGATGTTCGAGAGTGACTGGTCCATGCCTGTGTGTGGGCTGGACCAGCCCTCAGGCCAGTACATGGCACAAGGTAAAGGACATCTCCTTCCTAAGGTCCCTGCGCTGCTGACCTGCATCTCTGAGATCCCACCAGTGCAACTGCTCCCCAGGTTCAGAGAGATTTCCCCACCGTAAAGAACATTTCCTTCCCAGCCAAATAAAAGATTTTTCTGAAAAATGGTCTTGCGGAGGCCAGAAGAGAATAAGATACTAACATATTACATTGCCTGCCATAAGTGGAGCCCTACGTGGATCAGCTCATCAGACTGTGTTTGGACATGATATATTTCCCAGGAATGCTCCAGGCAAAAGACATGGCAGGTGGGGATTTAAGTAGAGGGCAGGGCAAGGGGACGCCTTAAAGGTGAGAGTGGAGGGGATGTGCCCCTGGGGGACTTTGCAGTCTGTCTCCACGCTGCCAGCCATGTTTGTGCAAGTGTCTGAGCACTGCACAAACATGTGAACACACCAGCACCAGCCACTTGGTGTTGTTTTTTCAACCCTACCATGGGTTGGTGACTCATGCCTATAGTCCCAGCTACTCAGGAGGCTGAGGTGGGAGGATCACTGGAACCTGGGAGTTGAAGACTGCATTGAATTGAGACCACTGCACTCCAGCCTGGGCGACAGAGCAAGACTGTCTGAAATGAAAAGAGAAAAGAGCCCAAAAATACTCAAAGTTTAACTGGCAATAAGGCCACATGAACTGACTATGAAAACACATCTCTCTGCTTTGGGCCAGGGTTATCTGGAAATGGCAATTCTGTACAATTTCAATATAAACTAGGAAAGGGAACTACTCCCTGGACACTGCAGTCCAGTTAGACCAGTGATTCTTGAGTCCTCCCATCTGGGTGGCATGAACAGGGACTCAAAGGGCCTTGCTAAGAGGCCTTGTAGAGGGCTGTTCCATGCTGGGTGTGTAGAGGAGGCCACCTGAACATGTTTCCCAGGAGCATTTCCAAGGGCCTTATGTGCTGCCTTTGAAATCAAAACCCATTCCAGAAGGAATCCCAAAGACCAGAGACACAATGCAAGGCTTGTGGCATGAGAATACACAGTCCAAGGCCCCTACTCCAAAGGCAATATTCAGGGTGGGGAGGGGATGAGTAGCAGAAACTTAAGAAGAAGGGGAAAGGGAGCTCCCGGGGATGGAGGGGGCTGAGTGAAAGCAACTTATAGGGTATGAGTGGCAGCATTTTAAGAGAGCGTGTGAGGAAGGACAGTGTTTTAAGTGGAATCCAATCCAGAAGGAATTCCTGGCAGAGAAACAAACCACAGGTCAGGTCAATGGCGGTGCCAGCTCGAGTAGGGCCCCTCTCTGGGCAATGCAGTTTAGTATGAGGTGACCCAAGGCCTCTGGGCCCCCAACCCTGCACTAGTGCTACTGTGCTGCAGGGGCAGGCCTTGGCATGGAAGGAATTGGGAGCTGCTTATTGGGAGCTGCTCATTATAACGCAAACATTTGTTAAACAGCTCTTTTGCGTCTTCCATTTGACTGTTCCCAGAGTCAAGCTCAACCATAAAACAGGCAACACCCACACGAGAGATCCTTATTCTGAAGGGAGCACTACACATAACTATGTATAATTGAGACCTTTTCTGTACAACATACAAGTGCACTAAATGCAGGAGCCCTACTGATCCTGCCACCCCAGGATCCACTGTTCAACTCTCCATCTCCCTCTTCCATTCCTCCAGTTCACCCATAGATGGGGCCCCTTCTCTGGTTCCTCCCACCCTGAGAGTTGGCTCTGATGCCCTTACCCAAGACCGGTGCACTGGGCTGTCAAAGTTGGTCCCATCTGGAGCCAGGAGCAGCCAACTGCCATAAATAGATTTTGCCTAGAGGAGAAAAAAAGAGGGCAGGTCACCAACAGCCTTCAACCCCAGAGAGAGAGAGAACAGCTAAAGTTCACGGCATGCACTCGCTGGAAAGAGACATTGTCTCTGCTCAGCAGAGGTCATGCCACACATTCCCACTGTGGTGCGTCTGTGGCTGCTTGAGAATCAGAGGCTGGTGGGGATTCTGCAGCATCTGGGGTGGAGAGGGGAACACAGACCCCGGCAGGAGTGTCAGAACCTGTAGAGTACAGGAGCCCTAAGACATGCTGCCTCCCTCAAGCTCCTGATCAAGCTACCAAGATCAGGAAAAAATGACATTTTATTCAACAAATATGTGAGTGCCAAAGTGTGCCAGGTGCCCGGAATAGAACATGAACAAAGCCAAAAAGCCTCACCCTGAAGATACAAAACAGCCTGGAGAAGAGACCGCTTTTGGGATCAAAGCCAGCTCTGGCCAAAGAATCATCAACTGACTGGCTGTGTGGCTGTGTGCAGAAACCCTCAGAGTTCAAACTCTCCCATTTGAAAGGTGAGAGGGATGATGATTCTACCTAAACCTCATGACTCTGATGTGAGAACTAATGAGATAATGCAATTAGTAAAACCCAGCACAGGGATGTGAAACGGTGCCGCAACCTTGGAAGAGTCCGGCAATTCCTCAGACAGTTAAAGGCAGAATTACCCTAGACCCAGCAATTTCACCCGTATGTATACACACCCAGGAAAACAAAAAATGGGCTCAAATAAAAACTTGCACATGAATTAAAACCCAAACGCTTGCCAAAGGTGGTAACAGCCTAAACATCCATAGACAGAAGAATGGATGAACAAAGTATGATGGATCCACACAAGGAAACATTATTCAGCCAGAAAAAGGAATGAAGCACTCACACTACAGCACAGAGGAACCTCGAAACATGATGCTAAGTCAAAGAAGCCAGACACAAGCGCCCACGTTACAGAATTCCGCTTACACAAACGGTCTGGGATAGGCACATTCACCGCACAGAAAGCAGATCAGTGGCTGCCAGGGACTGAAGGAAAGGGAATAAGAAGAGACAGCTAATGGGTATGGGGTATCTTTCATGGGTGACGAAAATGTTCTGGAATTAGACAGCGGAGATGGTTGCACAACATTGTGAATATGCTAAAACTCACCAAACTGTACCCTTTAAGAGGGTGAATCTTAAGATAGGTGAATTATAGCTCAATTTCAAAAGCTGCATGAGCACCAAGAACATTGAGCATAGTGTCTATAGCCTGTGAGGTCTCAACAAACGTGAGGCACTGTTCCCCTTCACAATCCACAGAGCCCCCACTCCCCAGACTGAAGGTAGGCGTTCAGCACAGTGCATCTAGACACACTCTGGCTCCATCTCCTTCCTCAGCTACACCCAGCTGGTAAGAAGGAGCTACACCTAGAATCCCAAAACTCTGGAAGGCTAAGGTGGGTGGATCACGAGGTCAAGAGATCAAGACCATCCTGGCCAACATACTGAAACTTATCTCTATTAGAAATGCAAAAATTAGCTGGGCATGATGGCACCTGTAATCCCAGCTGCTCGGGAATTGGAGGAAGGAGAAACACATTAACCCAGAAAGCAGAGGTTGCATTGAGCCGAGATCATGCCACTGCACTCCAGCCTGGTGACAGAGGGAGACTCCATCTCAAAAAGAGAAAAACAAACAGAAAAAGGGTACAACCAGGCCTGTTTATCCAGTCCCCTTTGGAGAAGAGTAATATAAATTAAAACCCAAATTCTCTGACTGCTGCTTACACACACAGCCTGATCCCTGGATGCCCTCAAGGGTCCTCCTGATGTGCTTTTTATTCAGTACTCTCCAAACTAGGAGGCCCCACCACACCACCTCATTTGGTAGCTGCAGACTGTGATTCAGAGAGAAGAGGTCATGTGCCAGAGGCTGCACAGCCTCCAGGCTGAACCAAGAATCCTCTTTCCTTGGCTTCCGTCTACAGGGTCCTCTAGGTCGCCAGGACCAATTGGGGCTGTGTGTCTGGAGTCAGCAGAAAGCTAGGACAGGAGAGGCTTGCTTTGATCCAACAGGGGAGTGGGTGCTGGCTGCAGACACAGCCCAAGAGGGCCAAAGGGTGTGTATTAGAGATCCCATCTGGGAAGGCAGAAGCAAAAGCAAGGAGGGGTCTGGGCTCGCTACAAACTCCAGCTGTGTCAAGCCAACCTCAGGTGGGCACAAACACACAGCCTCTCCACCTCCCCATTCCCGGAGTGCACACACCCTAAGCAGACCCCACCCAGAGGCCTTGCATACAGCACAGGAAAGCCGAAGCTAGAAAACTCCCTGTGTGCATCTGGACTCTGACTCCCAGCTCGGCCTCTCCTTGGCCACAAGAGCTCACCTGTGAGGTCAGAGGCCAGCCCACCAGGCCATTTCTCCATCTCTAGCTTAACTGTGCAACACAGACCACCTTGGCCTCTGAAGGCAACTTGAATTGTTGTCACATCATCAGCTACATTTACCTGACCTTTCTCCAGGAGGGTATATAATGTATATTACATAATATATTATATAATTATATGATATATTTTAATAAATATATTAGATATATTTTAATAAATATATTAGATATATTTATTAATATGTATACTTTAAAATATATATATATATATTTTATATATATATAAATATATATATATATTTTAAAGTATAGAGTCTTATTCTATCACCCAGGCTGGAGTGCAGTGGTGCGATCTCTGCTCACTACACCCTCTGCCTCCCAGGTTCAAGCAATTCTCCTGCCACCACCTCCTGAGCAGCTGGGATTACAGGTGCTTACCACCAGGCCTGGTTCCATGGGGTTTTGCTGTATTGGCCAGGCTGGTCTCAGACTCCTGACCTCAGGTGATCCACCTGCCTCAGCTTGCCAGAGTGCTGAGATTAGAGGCATGAGCCACCGCACCTGCCAGAAAGCTATATCCTTCTTTCCCTACTTTGGCTCCTAATCACCATGTGCTTTATTTTCCAAACAGAGACGTCATTCATCTGGTGGCTCAGGTGGTTCCAATTTATGCTGTTTCCCACCTCTTTGAAGCGCTTGCTGTAAGTATTATGTAGTAGTCCCCTAAGCACTGTTATGATCTATGAATTTCTTCTGATGGTGGTAAATTTCAGCTGCAAGGAGGGGCCAGGGTAGGTAGGAAGATTGAATATTGTTATCATATTCATTTAGAAGGATGCTGTCATCTTACCATGGATTTTAGAGTCAGAGTCCCACAGAATATGAAGTGCTCAGGAGATGGGCGTGTTTCAGGAGCACTGGCTTCATTGGCACTGATGGGATGCTCTCTGCCTGCAGTGCACGAGTGGTGGCGTTCTGAGGGGGAGTGGAAATCAGAAGGTGGGAGCCGTCGTGAATGCCGTTGGGTACTATGTGGTGGGCCTCCCCGTCGGAATCGCACTGATGTTTGCAACCAAACTTGGAGTGATGGGTAAGCTCTAACCTGTGCAGGCAGGGCTCAGCTGCTCACTAGCTCAGGAAATGACCATCAGAACACACGGGCCTTTTACTGAGGCTCACCTCTGAAATTTGGAAGCTCACTCACGTCCATTCTGTGTCTTGTCAGAGAGCGTGGGGGATGTTCAGGAGGTGGCCTCCAGCTCTAGCCAGGGCCCCAAGGCTCCGTGGTCCTCCCTCCCACCCCTGCAGGCAGTCTTCCATGCGGACAAACTTGAGCGCAGATGCCCTTTCTATTCACCTCCTGACCTGAGTCATCCAGCCCTTATTTCTCCAAAGGAGGTGACAGCAGGGACCACTGAAGAAGCATTCGGAAGTGTCCCTTTTTCATGTTCCATGCTGTTCTTTAGACAGCGTGTGAGCCCCTGAGGGTGAGTCTGCAGGGCAGAGGCCATGATAGGTGGTCTGTCCTGCGTGGGTGGGGTGCCGCAGCGTCAGCACTCACAGTGGCACTGTACATCCTAAAGCAGCGCCCCATGTGTTCACCAGGCAGCGTGGCTGGATCCTTGGAGGGCAGCGGGTGGCCAGTGCCCTCCTCATCACCCCTATCCCACTCCGCAGCCTTCACCTCCCTCCCTGTATGGCCTCAGCTGTGTGTCTGTGGGTCTCCCCACAAGGGCATGCATGTGATCAAGTGAACAGCACAGGAGGAAGGTGGTGGACGCGAGCACCTTCCCACATTTGGAAGAAAAAACTTAATCCACAGCATCTGAAATTACCAGAGCTAATCATTTCTAAAAGTGCGGAAATAAATGACTGCCCAGCTTTGATTTCTAAAATAATAATTCTGAATATATTGGCAGTTAATAAATGATGATATGAAAAGGTGGACATTATCTTTGGGGCCAGTAGTGACTGATGTAAAGCGTGGCTTGTTTTGATCCATCCGTACTTGGCAGGTTCTGAGGTAGCAAGAAGTCAACTGATACCTCCAGGGAACTTACAGTTCAGTATGTTCCTTTAGGTGGCACATTTTTCTTAAGTTCAATAATATTTTAATTAAAAATACAGGAGTTGTTCAAAGAATAGAATTGCCAGTGCAGAGTTCATTGGGCTTGCATGATAGTGCAGAAAATTATTCAGCTGAGTTTCTGGTATGATTCATACTCTGGACTTGCCAATTGGATAGCTAATGCAAATATTATAAGAATCTATGGGCCGGGCGCGGTGGCTCAAGCCTGTAATCCCAGCACTTTGGGAGGCTGAGGCGGGTGGATCACGAGGTCAAGAGATCAAGACCATCCTGGTCAACATGGTGAAACCCCGTCTCTACTAAAAATACAAAAAATTAGCTGGGCATGGTGGTGCGTGCCTGTAATCCCAGCTACTCGGGAGGCTGAGGCAGGAGAATTGCCTGAACCCAGGATGCGGAGGTTGCAGTGAGCTGAGATCGCGCCATTGCACTCCAGCCTGGATAACAGCAGCGAAACTCTGTCTCAAAAAAGAATCTATTTTTATTTTTAAAGCAATGTATTTCATGTAACACAATATAGACAAAATATTATCATTGTAACATGCAATCAGTATAAAATATTAAGGAAATACTTTAAATTCTTTTTTATGTCTTTTAAATTTTAAATTGACAAATTGTATGTATTTATGGGGTACAGTGTGGTGTTTTGATATACATATAGAATGTGGAATGATTAGATCAAGCTAATTAACGTACTTATTGCCTCACTTATTTTTTATGGTAAGACATTTGAAATTCATTGATTCAAAATGTACATTGACTATGGCCCCCCTGCTGTGCAATTGACCTCAAAACTTATTCTTCCTGTCTATCAGGAACTTCGTGTCTTAACAACTCCCTGTTCCCACACCCTCCCCTCCCTGCCACCAGTCTCTGGTAACCATCATGCTACTCTCTACGTCTATGACTTCAATTTTTTTAGAAGAGGAATCTACTTTATTCTCTTGTTCATTTTTACAGATGGGGTCTTGCTGTGTTGCTCAGGTGGATCTCAAATTCCTTGCCTCAAGTGATCCTCCCACTTTGGCCTCCCAAGTATCCGGGATTACAGGCATGAGGAATCTGCTTTTAAATATAAATCTATCCATACCCCAAGTGCTGTCCTTGGCTCACCTATTCACTTAACAAAATATACTGAGGCATGAGCCTGAGCCTGAGCCTCAGTATATTTTGTTAAGTGAATATATTTGGGATTACAGGCACAGCACAATGGCCCATGCCTGTAATCCCAGCACTTTGGAAGGCTGAGTTGGCAGATTACTTGAGGTCAGGAGTTTGAGACCAACCTGGCCAACATGGCAAAACCTCATCTCTACTAAAAATACAAAAGTTAGCCAGATGTGGTGGTGTGCACCTGTAGTCCCAGCTACTTGGGAGGCTGAGATATGAGAATCACATGAACACCAGAGGCAGAGGTTGCAGTGAGCCAAGATGGCACCACTGTACTTTAGCCTGGGTGACAGAGTGAGACTCTATCTCAAACACAAAAAACACAAAAACTAAATGTGCAAAGCAGAAGTTGAGAATCACTGAAAAGAAATGGTGGGGGCCCCGGGGATGTGAGGGCTCTATGAGAAGACTGTAGTCAGTCCTTCCACCCGCCTGTTGGAAGAAAGTGTGGTTTGAATTGGATTTTAATCTTGTGTTTCCTGTAGTATGGAATGCAGTATACCTATACAGGGTGTAGGAGAGCATCTGAATTCTGCAGGTTCTCAGAAGCAACCCTAGGAAATCGTAATGACCCTCAGAATCCCTGGGAGACTTTTAAATATGTTAATTCCTGGGCCTTGCCCATGGGATTCTAATAATCATCCTACTTTGGGTCCCTAGGTTGGGTCAAATAGAAATCTTGAAATGATCTATGCTAAACTACCAGAAATCTAATTCATAACTTCCAAATTATAGCTGGAGGTAGCTAGTTATTTTCTGTTTAAGATGCTTTGGGTGAGCTTGTAGTTTCTATGCACTGAGAACACTGGATTTGAAAGAGGAAGCCAGTAGCTTCCTTCTGCTAATTTTTTACAGGAATAGCAGGTGACACCAACTATACTATTCTAAGAGCAGGCTACACTGGGTGCAGTGACTCATACCTATAATCCTAGTGCTTTGGGAGGCCAAGGCGGGAGGATCACTTGAGTCTAGGAGTTTGAGGCTGCAGCGAGCTGTAGAGCAAGACCCTGCCTCTAAAGAGCAAACAAACAAAAGGGCAAGCTAGTCATACCTGAAAAAATGTGACTGGTACCAAGAAACAGAGCTGTCAACCTTGTACCTAATCTGTAAACCAGGAACCCAGACTAGCCACCTTAAACCTTACATAGATCTGGACAGCTGTGGAAATAAAGCAGGACCAACCAAGCAAGACAAGCAAAGGCGTATTCTCAGCAAGGGCGTTGGCCGCCACCACTTGCATTTGGGTAGAGACTCAAAGGCAGGCAAAGGAGTGGGAAAGCGTCCCAGGAAAGGGGAGGCTGCAGGTGTGCCCTGAGACTGTTGATCTGGGGATGCTGGAGGGAGCTGACTAGAAATAGGCCTCCGTGTGATTGGTTAGGGGGATGTATTTTACTTTCTCTGGTTGGTTCTAAGTTGGAAACTCGGGCCAAAGTCCTGACTTTGGGGCCAATCGTTGCAGAAGTTACTGGTTAGCTTCCTGGATTGTCACCAGAGGCAGCCATCTTGCTTCCTGCAAGTCTGATTTAGGGCAGGCTGGCTTTCTGGGTTTATTGTAGAGAGGGGTGGTTTCTTGGGCTGCCTGATGTGGGGCAGAACCCAAAGTAGGTCTGTTTTTGTTACGGTCAGGCCCTTGTCTCTTGGTTATTGTTGGAGCTTTTGGTTCTGCCATGAGTTTACTGTTGACCAAAAACCCTCCTCTCCTGGGGTCTCCCTCTGTGTCCTGTGTGGTGCTTTGAGATCCACAGGGCTTTTCCCACCACCTGTGCCTCCCAGGCCTGCCTTTGTTCTCTAGTCATCTCTGGGTGCACAGCCCTCCTCTGGGAGCTTCCAGCAAAGTCTGTCAGAAGCAAGTTAAGGTCCAAGGTCTGGCAGGAACTCTGAGGCAGGGAACATTATTAATTTATATAGCTAGTGGTTTCTGCTTTTTTTTTTTTTTTATGTTAGTCCCCTTTTTTTGAGGAAAATAGGGCAGAAGTAGTTGGTCCTGGGAAATTTTAATTTTATTATAACTGGCATTTTTCTTAATACTCAAGCATTATAGTCAGTAAGGCCAAAAATATCCTCTGAATATTTGTTCTGAAATCCTGAACCACAAGAGATGGCCCTTCTGGAGGAGGCCTCAGGGAGTATTGGGATTTCTAGAACCTTCCGGGACCTTCTGGAAGTCCAAGAAGGAGCAGGGTAGAGGTCTGTGGCCCACTGTGGGCTCTACCTCAGCCATGCAAGCAGATGTTCAGTATGGCTGACCGAAGTGAGATAGGCAAAACATACTCCCCAGGGGCAGCTGGTTTTCTGTGGAATTAACCTCTATTAAATATTTCTATTTCTAGGTCTGTGGTCAGGGATCATCATCTGTACAGTCTTTCAAGCTGTGTGTTTTCTAGGCTTTATTATTCAGCTGAATTGGGAAAAAGCCTGTCAGCAGGTGACTATGTTCATTCTGTCCTGGTTCCTCTCCTAGAAAAACAGGCTCTGATCTTGCTCTCCCTTTTTCATTTTGGAAAGTTCTTTTCTCATTTTCTTTATTTTTATATCATGAATACTATTTTTCTTGTTGTTTTAACTAGACAATTCAGATGTGAAGGGCCAAATGACCCCAGCTTTATCCACTTCCAGAAAAACAGGGGGTTCCTTTCTTCCTTGTCTCCCATGCCAGGCTGTCCCCCTTGTGCAGGAAAATCTAATGTCAGGACAAGAATTCAAACTGAAGAGAAAGGTGGGATGCATCAAAGTCATCCTGATGTTGTTTTTATGATCCCCAGATGTTTTGTGAAGATACTTGGTGCATCCTTCCCTTCAGCTTTCTAGGGTCAATGTGAGGTCTAGAAAGAGGTGATAGAAAAATGAGATGGGGGGGAGGACTCAAGATGGCGCTGTGAGAACAACCCAGGATTGGAGCTCTCGTTGAATCCGCAAAGAGGTGAGTCAGTGCTGCATTTCCAGACTGATCTTTGTTGCCCACAGAACGGGGAAACTCCCAAGTATAAAAAAGACATGGGACGCCAGGCAGTAGGTCTGCCTGGTGAAGCCGGCAGCCGGGGCGGTGGCAGCCGGCCCTACCCAGCAATCCCCACAGGGCGTGCTTGTCCGGGTGCCCTGTTGAACCGGCAACCTGAGACTTGAGAGGGCTGGACTTGAGACTGAACGAGACTTGGACAGTAGGCCAGCCCAGGGGATTGCAGGGACAGAGCGTTCGGGGTACCCAGTGGGACGAACAAAACCGCGATTTCAAACTATCCCGAGCAGACGGTCCGAGACGCTCTGTGGGGGAGGGGCGTCCACCACTACCGAGGCAACCCATCCCTACTGAGATACATGCCCACTGCTGACGCAGCCTGCCATTGCCGAGGCAACACGCTACAACGAAGAGACTCCACCGCAGGGCGTGGCGGAGACCACAGCAGAGCCTGCAGGAACAGGGCGAATCACACAACAGCAGGGCGGAGACTCGGCAGGCAAACAGTGGCTAGTCTGCCTCCTAGCTGGGCAGGACACCTCAACGGACATCGAAAAATAAAGCCCGAACCCCCCAACACAGAGCATTTGAGAAAAAAAGGGTTTTTTTAATGAGCTCTGTTGCAGCAGAATCAAACATAGCAGCCTAACAGCCCTGAATGAACAACAGAGCTCACAGCTCAGAAATTGAGCTCCTAAAAAGAACAGACTGTCTCCTCAAGCAGCTCCCTGACCCCTCCCTCTATATCCAAAAGACTGACATTTGGCAGGCATCATCCTGGGACGAAGATAGCAGAAAAAGAAACGGGTGGCATCCCTCACTGTGCCACAGCTGCTAGAGGTGCACCCCAGACAAGCAGGGCCTGGAGTGGACCTCAGCAGTCGTACAGCGAAGGGGCTAGGCTGGTAGAAGGAAAACCAAGTAACAGAAATACTTCATCATCAACAATCTGGGTGTCCACTCAGAGACCCAATCGAAAAGTCAGCAACTACGCAGACGACAAGTGGATAAACCCACAAAGATGGGAAGAAACCAGCGAAAAAAGGAGGAAAACACCTGAAACCAGAACACCTCACCTCCTAGAAAGGACCAAAACTCCTCACCAGCAAGGGAACAAAGCTGGACGGAGAATGACTGTGACAAAATGACGGAATTAGACTTCAGAAGGTGGATAATGAGAAACTTTTGTGAGCTAAAAGAACACGTATTAAATCAATGCAAAGAAACTAAGGAACTTAAAAAAAGACATGAGGAAATGATAACAAGAATGGATAACTTAGAGAGGAATATGAATGAATTAAAGGAGCTGAAAAACACAATACCAGAACTTCGCGAAGCATGCACAAGTTTCAATAGCCGAATTGACCAAGCAGAAGAAAGAATATCTGAAGTCGAAGACCAACTCAATGAAATTAAATGAGAAACCAAGATTAGAGAAAAAAAGGGCAAAAAGGAATGAACAAAGTCTCCAAGAAATGTGGGACTATGTGAAAAGACCTAACCTACTTTTGATAGGTGTACCAGAAGGGGACGAAGAGAATGAATCCAAGCTGGAAAATACTCTTCAGGACATCATCCAGGAAAACTTCCCCCACCTAGCAAGACAGGCCAACACTCAAATGCAGGAAATACAGAGAACACCACAAAGATATTCTGCAAGAAGAGCAACCCCAAGGCACATAATCGTCAGATTCAACAAGGTTGAAATAAAGGAGAAAATACTAAGGGCAGCCAGAGAGAAAGGTCGAGTTACCCACAAAGGGAAGCCCATCAGACTCACAGCAGATCTCTCGGCAGAAACACTACAAGCCAGAAGAGAGTGGGGGCCAATATTCAACATTCTTAAAGAAAAGAACTTTCAACCCAGAATTTCATATCCAGCCAAACTGAGCTTCAGAAGTGAAGGAAAAATAAAATCCTTTGCGAACAAGCAAGTACTCAGAGATTTTGTCACCACCAGGCCTGCTTTACAAGAGCTCCTAAAAGAGGCACTACACATAGAAAGGAACAACCAGTACCAGCCATTCCAAAATCACACTAAATGCTAAAGAGCATCAACAGAATGAAGAATCTACAACAACTAACAGGCAAAACAGCCACTTAGCATCAAAATGGCAGTATCAAATTCACACATAACAATATTAACCCTAAATGTAAATGCACCAATCAAAAGACACAGACTGGCAAATTGGATAAAAATCCAAAACCCATCAGTGTGCTGTATCCAGGAAACCCATCTCACATGCAAGGATACACAAAGGCTCAAAATAAAGGGATGGAGGAAGATTTACCAAGCAAATGGAGAGCAAAAAAAAGCAGGAGTTGCAGTTCTCATCTCTGGTAAAATAGACTTTAAAGCAACAAAGATCAAAAGGGACAAAGAAGGCCATTACATAATGGTGAAAGGATCGAAACAACAAGAAGAGCTAACGATCCTAAACATATATGGACCCAATGCAGGAGCACCCAGATACATAAGGCAAGTTCTTAATGACTTACAAAGAGACTTAGACTCCCACACAATAATAGTGGGAGACTTTAACACTCCACTGTCATTATTAGACAGATCAACCAGACAGAAAATCAACAAGGATATCCAGGGCTTGAACTCAGACCTGGAGCAAGCAAACCTGATAGACATTTACAGAACTCTCCACCCCAAATCCACAGAATATACATTCTTCTCAGCACCACATCACACCTACTCAAAAATTGACCACATAATTGGAAGTAAAGCACTGCTCAACAAATGCAAAACAACTGAAATCATAACAAACAGCCTCTCAGACCATAGTGCAATCAAGTTAGAACTCAGAATACAGAAACCAACCCAGAACCGCACAGCTTCATGGAAACTGAACAACTGGCTCTTGAATGTTGACTGGGTAAACAATGAAATGAAGTCAGAAATAAAGAAGTTCTTCGAAACCAATGAGAACGAAGACACAACATGCCAGAACCTCTGGGACACATTTAAAGCAGTCTCTAGAGGAAAGTATATAGCAATAAGTGCCCATATGAGGAGAATGGAGAGATCCAAAATTGACACCCTATCCTCAAAATTGAAAGAGCTAGAGGAGCAAGATCAAAAAAACTCAAAACCCAGCAGAAGACAAGAAATAACTAAGATCAGAGCTGAACTGAAGGAGATTGAGACACGAAAAACCCTTCAAAAAATCAATAAATCCAAGAGCTGGTTTTTTGAAAAGATCAACAAAATAGACAGACCACTAGCCAGATTGATTAAAAAGAAAAGAGAGAACAACCAAATAGATGCAATAAAAAATGATAAAGGGGAAATCACCACAGATTCTACAGAAATTCAAACCATCATCAGAGAATATTACAAACAACTCTATGCACATAAACTAGTAAACCTGGAAGAAATGGATAAATTCCTGGACTCCTGCATCCTCCCAAGCCTAAACCAGGAGGAAGCTGAAACTATGAATAGACCAATAACAAGGTCAGAAGTCGAGGCAGCAATTAAGAGCCTACCACACAAAAAAAGCCCAGGTCCAGACGGGTTCACAGCCGAATTCTCCCAGACACACAAAGAGGAGCTGGTACCATTCCTTCTAAAACTATTTCAAACAATCCAAAAAGAGGGAATACTTCCCAAATCATTTTACGAGACCAACATCATTCTGATACCAAAACCCGGCAGAGACCCAACAAGAAAAGAGAACTTCAGGCCAATATCCATGATGAACATAGATGCAAAAATCTTCAATAAAATATTGGCAAGCCGAATACAACAGCAAATCAAAAAACTTATTCACCATGATCAAGTAGGATTCATCCCAGGGATGCAAGGCTGGTTCAACATACGCAAGTCTATAAACGTAATTCACCACATAAACAGAACCAAAAACAAAAACCACATGATTATCTCAATTGACACAGAGAAGGCATTCGACAAAATTCAACAGCCCTTTATGCTAAAAACCCTCAATAAACTCGGTATCGATGGAACGTATCTCAAAGTAATAAAAGCTATTTATGACAAACCAACAGCCAATATCATATTGAATGGGCAAAAACTGGAAGCATTCCCTTTGAAATCTGGCACTAGACAAGGATGCCCTCTTTCACCACTCCTATTCAATATAGTTCTGGAAGTTCTAGCCAGAGCAATCAGGCAAGAAAAAGAAATAAAGGGTATTCAAATAGGAAAGGTGGAAGCCAAATTGTCTCTATTTGCAGACGACGTGATAGTATACCTAGAAGACCCCATCACGTCAGCCCAAAAACTCCTGAAACTGATAAGCAACTTCAGCAAAGTCTCAGGATATAAAATCAATGTGCAAAAATCACAAGCATTCGTCTACACCAATAACAGACTTAAAGAACGCCAAATCAAGAACGAACTGCCATTCACAATTGCTACAAAAAGAATAAAATACCTTGGAATACAACTCACAAGGAACGTAAGGGACCTCTTCAAGGAGAACTACAAACCACTGCTCAACGAAATCAGAGAGGACACAAACAGATGGAGAAAC